GTGTACAGCTGGTTCGGCCATATACTCTTCATGTCGAACCATCGATTTTCGAAGAGTTTGCTGTTTTCCATGCCCAATTTAGCTTGGAGGAAGCAGAGAGGTGGCCGATCTTTGATCTGGCGATGGGGTATGAAAGTGATTACAAAGCGTTTATTTGCTGTCGGTGCCGCTCGCCTTCCAGGATAGGGACAGGGTGATTCTCACTGTGCCTGGTTGAAGACGCTGCAGGAATTGTCTGCTAATCGATGTCAGTGGCGTTCTTGCTGTTTCTATCCAGACTGTCTGTCTGGAGGTGTAGGCACCTCGGGCTGATTGTAGGAAGCTAGCTTTAAGTTCCTTCTTCATCCACCTCTGTTAGTGTCTTCACAATACGGCCTTTAAATAAATCATGGTCGTAGGGCATAAAAGCACCAGTTTTGAATACGGACTTCATGATGTCAATGATGATAATGAAGTTCCCGCTGCACAACCGAACACTGTTTTTTATTATAACGTTTCAAATTCGTCTACACCAGTCTACAAGAGCTATCCCAGCCTAAATCTCTCACCTTGCCTCAGTGGTCGAGTTTCAGTGTTGCAGTGACCCTGTGGACCATACTGGTTGGAACTCAGTTTCGGCCGTTTCAGGAATAGCGGCGCAACGGAGGGCAGTACGTCTTTGTACTGTTAGGAATCGTATTATGAGGCATTCGCTATTACAGCTGTTTATTTACTGACTCTTCCCTACGTGTCCCTCGCACAGGTTCTTATGATTCACTTAGCTGCCAAGTATCTAACCGTTGCTCTGTATCTAATGAAAATAAACCTTATTGGTTTCAGGGGATCTATTCCTAATTGCGGCCTTCAATCACCGTAATCTGTGTCATTTTGGGCAACAGAACCTATCCTACCTTTCGACTGATGTATGATGCGCCAGTGAAACGCACAATACTTTAGTTTGATCATACCTCTCGAATGGCTCGTTACGAGCCCAGGTTTTTCACACCCTACTCTTCATACATCTGGTTATTCTGATGCAAAGGCTCGTAGCGTCTACAGTATGAAGATTGCGCATAGTCTCATGACAATGCACCTCACTGGACAGGATCACAGTAAATGACTGTATTTGCGCTGTTAGGCTGCCTGGTTTAATCAAGATCAATGCGTTTTGACATGGCTGAACAGTTTGTTTTTATCAGCATACGCTCCCACAGACGACAGCTCTGAAACCGAGAAAGACAGCTTGTATCCTGATTAGTCACTGTTGCTTCCATCAGCAAGATGTACAGACGTAATTCTGGCAAGTGATATGAATGCGCAGCTTGACCGAACAAGCTCTGAGGAAGTCCATTTTGGCAGCAGATACGTGGTTGACCCTCTCCCCAGGTAATGTGGAGCGACTTCTTCAAGTATTTGCTGAACACTTATGGCCAGCGCAATATTTCAGCACAAGCGCTTACACCATACGTCTTACAGGCCAGCAAACCAACCGTGAACCCGGCTGGATCATGTTGCAATAAGCTACTGATGGAGAGCTTCGATAAAAAATTTTCGTTCACAGAAGTCCCAAAAATTCGACGAGCGTAATGGTGATTTGAATGACGATCAGGTAAAGGTGAAAGGAGCCATGATCATAGTCTCTTAAACCGTTTGTCTGAGGTCACTCGCACACCCCAACGAACAGTCGACTTCATCACGACCAGTAGCTCTTATTGAGGTAAGGGGAAGCTGTACTGGAAACTATCGAATGTGATATCGTGGGCAGATTTCTCACACACCGAATAATGAGGAACCCGGAGTATGGTAGATAGTTCTGGTTGGTCGTAACTTCCAAGATGTTCTCTGGAAGTACCATACCAAGATGGATCCACTGTTGCGAGAGTAAAAGTCACGAGGGTTTCGCCTTAACCGTGGTTGCATCGACCATATCTTCATTTTTCAAGAGGTGCTGGAAATCGCGCCGCTCCTTTCGATGACCAACAATTGCCTTCTTTCTCAATCTTAAATTGGCCCTTGACGCTGTTGCTGGTTAGAACTATGGCGATATCCTGCGGTGAAGGATGTCCCTTCTAATTTCGTCTTTTATAAAGGCTTTATTTGCTTCCCCTCGTGGACGCACACATGTGTAAGACAAATTCTCTCCTGAGTTCACCGCATTCAGTGGTGTCAGACAAGAATGTCCTCTGTCGCCCTTTCTCGTTTACTTCGTAATCGACGTACAGTTTGAATTTTATTTACCTGCCTCTAACACTTTGGATATTGCTCTCGGTACTGGGTGCGCTGACGATGTTGCTGTACTTGGATCAGACTCTTTGGAACTCAAATCGTTTCAAACAGTTCGGTAGGCGCGTTGCATCTGTTAAGCGTAAAGTTTTGCTGAGTGATTGGGTTGGAGCAAACCCAAACCTCATTCTTGCAGATGAATTGGTCAATGTCATGGATAAGTTTGTCAATATTGGCAGCCGCATAAGTCATGGCCTTCCGGAATTAGGAGGAGACCAGACCAGTAACCGAGTCGAATGTGCCTTAGAAATACAGGAATACTAAAATTGTGGGTCGTTGTTGTGTACGACGAGGGTCGGAGTGGCACGACAATCAGAATGACAGTGGAAAAGACTGAGGGCCCGAAAGCTAGGCTTTATTCATCCAAAACTTTGACACAGAGCTGAAAACGGAAGAAAGTGATTTGTCAATAAATGATGAAACGTTTGAAAAACAGAGCAAATATACAACAGCCGTCTGTAAGTATGACTTTGTTCTAGCATCTGACGGAGTGTGAAGATTTTGTCGACATTACCCCTACCAGGCCGGAATCCTGATGACTGTCCTCAAGGCAGTGTGTCACGAGCTATCATAAGGCGACGAAGCACAAGAAGTCTCTTTATGATCCACCTGTAGTTACCACAATCACTACAAGTCCCTCCTTTGATAATAGGCACTTTCACCTACTCTCTTCAGTTGTTTGGGACAGTTTCCTTTTTTCAAATGCAGTCAAACAAATCAGACAATCGGTGACTGAAGATTTCACTCACATCTTTGAACAATGCAAGTAGGAGGTCATCCGGACCAGAAGCTCGGTAGCGTCTTGGAGAACATCTGCGGGCGTAAATTCTGAGGACCTAGGGGCTCCCAGTACAGTTCCAAATTCTAACCGAGTGGTAGCAGCTGGTCACAAAAATTTTGCTCCAAGTTTTCGGTTTAGCAGTTAGGGCGTACTTCTTTCCGGAAAACGATCGCGCCTTGTTAGCCTCTCTCACCGGTGGTTTCCGGAACCGGTCGCCCAGATCAACCAAAATAAACTTTGGGTATTCCCGGAATTCTTCACCTGTCCCATTTTCTTAGCCTTCCCTGTCTCTCGGACTTCACAGTTGGCAACACTAAATAGCAAGAATTATTCAGCCGTAACACCCTTTCACTATCCAGCTGGTGGGACACTCGGAGGATGCACAAGTGCCATGATACTGCCAGGATACCCAAGCTTAGACAGGACTAGTCGATGTGCCGGGCTTGGGTTCGAAACTTCTAGTAATTCCGCTGAATAACCGCCGAGCTATCTCGAGTTCATGGTCTTTTAAATTAATTTTCACCTAATATCCACTAATTCGCTGGTTTCGGTTATGAGGAGTAGTGGGAACAGTTCTTCGAAATTCAAGCGGTGGAACCGTGATACCCG